TTATAATATATATATATAATATATATATGTGTGACGGATGAATAATACGACAATATTGACGTTATACCATTCATCCGCAAACAAATGCCGGAGAAAATGGCAATCCGTTGGGACGTTTCAAGGACTCCATTAGCTGGTTTGCCGAACGGTTGGAGAAGCTCTAATATATATATATATATATATATATATAGAAAAAATTAAAGGCCCAAAATACACGCGCATATGTGAGGCCACCTCACCAAACTACAAACAAGGAAGGAGAGCGGCCTAATACTCAATACGCAATTCGCTACATAGTGGAAAATCGGCAAACAAGCGTAGACGCACGCAAAGATAAAAAGACTACCGAGACCTATGAAATTTCCTCTCTTGGCCTCCATATTGGCGGCCTCGTTTCATTAAATCCGTAGATCTGCCTCCACCTCCCCTCACATTTCTCTTCCAATCTAAGTTCTGTAACTAGAAGATCGATTTTCCTCTTTTATCTGTGTTGATCTCTTCCCTGGTAATTTTTTTTTGTTTTCTGCATCAACTTTTGCATACTTTTCTGTCGATTTGTGATTGTTCTTGTTATTTGTTATATGAAAGTTGCTTCAAGTTTTCAATTTTCTTGTGAACTGGGGTATTGAGATTTGAGGTGTCTTTGTTCTGCTTAGGTTGCTGTAATTTCGTAGGTGATATCGGATTTATAGGGTTTGAAAAGTTAGTGCAGGTCGAAGGACTGCTTGGAGGGGATTCGTAGGTATATTTTCATTTGGCTGCCCTTGAGATCGGTTCTCCTATTTCTTATGGGCTGTCTTTGTACTCTTCTTATAAATTGATCAGCGATTTAGGATCCAGGTTTGAAGAGTTAGTGCAGGAGGGAGTGCTGGTTGGAGAGGCCTTATTTTCTTGTCCTTTAGATCGGTAACCCTGTTTCATAGTAATTGAAGGTTTAAGCCGCATCACTGTTCTCCTTTGCTACTTATGAGTTGATAATAGATTCAGGATTTAGGTTTCAAGAGTTAGTAATATCTAGTTTCCTAGGTTGGCAACCTTAAATTTCTTTCTTTTTTTTTTAATTGTGGTGTTCCTGGTGGTTAGGGGAAATTTTTGTAGATTTGCTGTAATGATTAGTTTATTAATTGATACTTAGGGCACAGGATTGATCAGAAAAATAAATAAAGTTTTTTTAGAACAGGAATCATGTTTGGACGTGCTCCAAGGAAGAGTAACAATACCAGGTACTATGAGGTCCTTGGGGTCACAAAAAATGCAGGTCAGGATGAATTGAAGAAGGCATACAAGAAGGCTGCCATAAAGAACCACCCAGACAAGGGCGGTGACCCTGAAAAGGTTTCTGTTTTACTCATTAACTCGTTCTTGTTACCTCTGTTGATGCTAAAGTGAAACACTTGGATTTCTTGCGTTTAGTTTTATTGAAACGTCTGTTAATTTGTTTTGAATGAGTCTAATTTATTTAGAAGCTGTTTCCTGACTGCTTATAATTGTAATTTTGAATAGTTCAAGGAGTTGGCTCAGGCATATGAAGTGCTCAGTGATCCTGAGAAGAGGGATATCTATGATCAGTATGGGGAAGATGCTCTTAAAGAGGGAATGGGAGGTGGTGCTGGTGCTCACAATCCTTTTGATATATTTGAACAGTTTTTCGGCGGTGGTGGTTTTGGTGGTGAGAGCAATGTCTTTTGACTGAATAATTTCTTGCATGAATAATTTTGGTTAGTTTGGAGTCTTTTTTTATTATGAAAGGACTTGTGATCCATTGGTTAAAAGAGATGGTTGTATCTGTAAGGTCTTGGGTTTGAGCTACATATTTGTGATTTAAGTTTAATGCTATATTTTCTTTTTCAGGTGGGAGCTCGAGAGGGCGTAGGCAGAAGCATGGTGAGGATGTTGTTCATACCCTCAAGGTTTCTTTGGAGGACCTTTATAATGGAACATCTAAGAAGCTATCACTTTCAAGAAATAGGCTATGTCCAAAATGTAAAGGGTATGTCTTCTATCCAATTATACAAATAAGTGAAAATATTGTAGTGAGGTTGAAAGAAGTTTATTATGATGTACAATTCTTATTTAAATTTATTTTGATTTTGTGATTCACTGCAAGAGGTTGTACCCTAGTGTATGCTTTTTGCTGATGATATTTTTCTTGTTGATAAAACTAGAGAGAAAGTTGAATGTAAATTGGAATTATAGAGGCCAACCTTAGATTCTAAAGGTTTTTGTTTGAGTAGACCTAAAACCGAATATATTGAGTGTAATTTTAGTATTAATAGATATAGTGGGGGATTGTGACTTTGGGCGATCAAGTCATTAATAAGAGTACACATTTTAGATATCTTGGGTCTATTGTTCAGAGTGATGGTGAAATAGATGAGGAAATTATTAGTAGAATTCAAGTTGGATGGTTGAAGTGCAGGGCTTGTTATGTGAGAGAAAAGGCTCCCTCAAACTTAAGGGAAAATTTTATAAGATGGTGGTGAGACCTGGAATGCTTTATGGTGCATAATGTTGGCCATTAAAAGAGAAGCATAATATTAAGGTAAGTGTTGCAGAGATGAGGATGCTCAAGTGGATGAGTGACTTTACTCTTAGAGACAAGATACGAAATGAGCATATATATGAAAGGTTGGAGTAGCTGTAGTGGAAGATAAAATTAGAGAGAGTCGTCTTAGATGGTTTGGTCACATAAAATGACGGCCTTCTGATGACCGATTAAGAGAGTAGATGTATTAGGTTTGGCTTATGTTAAGAAATGTAGAGGTAGACTTACAAAATACTTGGTTAAAAAATATTAGAAATGACCTTTCTTTTTTAAATTTAAATGAGAATCTGCTCTTAATCGGGTACAATGGAGAAAAAGTATTCTTGTGGCCGACCCCACGTAGTGGGATAAAGGCTTGATGTCGCTATTGTTGCTATTCACTTTCAGAATATTGGATAATATATTATAACATTAAAAAGTTATTATACATTACAATGTCAATAAATGACTCGACACGAGAACTTGCCTCAAAAAATTTGGGTATGAGTTGATCCAATTATTATTCTGGTCAGGTTTGGGTCTGAATTTTTGACCTAATTATTATTTGAGTTGACTTTATGTTGACCCATTTAACTCAAAATCAACTTGAAATTGACCTGATTACTATTTAGGTTTGGGGTTTGAATAGCTAGAAACACATTGTTACAATAGACATGTTATATTTGGATTAAGTGGGTTGTGTTAATCCAAAAAATTTTATGATCCATATTATAAACAAATTAGACAATTTGATTTAGGTCAAGTTCTAGTCAAAGATTTCAAATAAGGGTTGGGGCCCATTCAAGTAGATTTTGGTTGGGCCAACTTCAGGCTAAACTCGAATCCAACCCGCCAACTCGAATTTACATCCCTATCGTGCTTTATTTTCTCTTGAAATTTTATTTTTTCTAGCATTTGTTATAAGGCTTTAGCCTAGCCCTCATCTTTGTAAATGTGTTTTTGTGCATATATTATGCCATTGAGAATGGATTGTTATATGTAGTTTTTAAAATCCTTTATAGCTAGGGCTGTCTGAGCATTAGGTCAGATTGATTGTGGATGCCACGTTAATCTCACTAGACATGCCCTATTTTTTATAGTTGAGATTACTATGAAAGTTTGTCTTCATGTTGAATCAAATCAATGCCAACTCTTTGAGTAGTTGACTAAGAATATTGAATGCCTATATGGAGTTTCTCTGTCTATGACTGTGATGGACCAGCTGATTTGAATGTGAGGGAATTAAGAAGTTCCTTAATCAAAAGGGAATTGTTTAGGAAGGTTCTTAATCAAACGGAATTAATTAGAAGATGCTTTCGAATTGAAGATAGCATATTTGGGGACTGATTTAGAGGGAATTAATTAGGAAATATTTTTTAATTAAAGAGGGATGATTTGAGAGCTGATTTAGAGGGGATTAATTTGGAGATGTTGCCTAATTGAAGAGGGTAGATTTAGAGGCTGATTTGGAGGGGAAATATTTACGGAAATAGGGAAGATTTGGGAGGGAATTGGCGAAGGGCTGTTTGGGTATTTGTTGTTTATTGTTTTCTTTAAGTAGGAGATTTTCCTAGTGTTAGTGGTATGTCTTGTTTGCTGAAATTATAGTATTTTTAGAGTTCTTTGGGCTCTAGTGGCGTCTAGAGATTTGGCAGAGCCGAATCTTCCTCTCCAATTGAAGATCCAATTGTATCTTTTCTTTCCTTTCATATATAATCCAATCAAAAGTGTTCTTGAGTGTTATTTTTCTTCGTTTAGCTGTTATCAATTTCTGTTTTGCTGAAATTGTAAATTCAACCAAGGAAATTTACAAGCTCTGCATCGCCTTCCTATCAGACTGAAACAAAAAGTACAATTTCTAGCTTTCTTTGTGTTTACATTATGATTACGTGGTGTCTCTTACATCTTTGATAAATACTACATAAGATTTGTCTCCAATGGATAATCTTTGGTAGACAGTTTTTATTGGGTGTACGCCTCTGAAGGTATGGAGGACAATTTTCATTGGGTTGAATGAAGGCTTGCCTTGGAGTGTATGGGCATAGGGGAGCTTGATCACAAGAATCTCCTTTGAGCAAAATGAAAGTTTACCCTTGTGATATAATGGTGCCTAGCAAAAGGACTACTGCTCAATTCCAACCAGCAGCGAAAGCCTTGAGGGTGTTTGAACTCTTGCCTTCTCCTTGGGGGAGGAATATGGCCTCCTACTCATTGGCAGTTTTGGGATAACAAGCTAAAATACATATGAAGTTGTTTTGCCGCTCAGTTTTTGAATGAAGCTACGAGTGAAGAGTGAAACCAACATGTTAGAATTTTAGTTTATATGCTTTATTTTTCAAGTTTGTTCGCAATACACTTCTATGCTTCATTCCTTGAGTTTCTCTGCTGCTATATTTGACTCTATGATATCTATCCATAGTGATAGCCTTTTCATCAAAATATTAGGTTGGCCTGAGTAATTCTTATCCCCTGTTAACTTAACAAAAATTTATGAATTTAAATGAATTGAGCCCATTTTTTAAGGAAACTCTAGAGAAAGACTAACCAGAGTAGATTATTCAAACATTGTGAAGATGCTCAAACCTTAACATTTTCCTTGTTTGATTTTTAGATAGTGTGCTTCAACATGTTTGGTCATTCTTCAAGGGACTTTACCAACATAACTTGCCTTGTAATTATTGTCAAACATATTATGACCTGAACATTTCTTCTTGTGGTGGGACTTTTTGAGAAATAGTTAGGTTTCTCTTATTTAGATATGATTGTTACCCAACACAAATGCATCTGGAATAAGGCACGTCACATTTATCAATCCCTTTGCAAACCCTTATTGGCAATTTTTCACATTTATCAATTCCTTTGCAAGCCTTGGCAATTTTTGAAACGATTGAACTTAATTTGCATCCATGCTTATTAATGTCAAGCTACCATGAAGTTGTCAAGTTTCGGAAGCTTGAAGAGAGGTGAGGCTACCATGTTTTTCAAGTCAAGTATGAACACATGAATGAGTAATGAAATTTGATGATGTATTTTTTACAGAGTTTTTTATTTGCTATTTTTCACTATATTTACGACCCAGTCTTAGGCCTATCTAGTTTTTTTTATAAGAATTGGTCCAAAATGCATTGTGCAGAATTGCTATCACGCACAAGCAATGGAACATAGGTTCTTATTGCAGATGGTGGCTATCAATTTTTTATTTTTAAAATGCATATTTATGATAATCATTAATATGCAGAAGTTTTAGTGATAATCAATATAATTTGCAAGTAGTAATCACAACGAAATACCATTTAAGGGAAAAAGTGAAACATTTACTAAAATAATAATAAAAAATTTGGCTACAAGGAGTAATGAAGATAGTAAACTAGAACAATTTGATCACATATTTACAAAAAAAAAAGGAGACAGTAAGATGAAAATGAAATCAAACAGCATAACAATGACTTTGCTGCCATGAGGACAGAAAACATAAATAAAACTTCTAAGAAGACCAAATAAAAAATGTGCTAAATTCCAATGACAAACTCCGTAGTCATCATCAATAAGGTCAACAATTGTTGAAATAGTGAAGATGAACAAAGTATTTAGTCTCGTCCTTACAATTGGTTGCACCAGTTGCACTTCTAGATTGGTTGAGTTCATCCTAGTTTTCAATCTAGGTGACCACAGCATCAATAAGTTTGTTAAAGGATGGAGTTCCCAAGTCTTGTGCTTTCTTTCTCTGCACGCTTAATGTATTTTGACTTGACTAAGAATCATGCAAAAGTTCTTTGACTCTTGGCAATCAAATAAAAATAGATGCAATATTTTAGGCTCTTGGACTTATTTATCCTCAATGAATTTTCCATTCATATGATTTAGAAAAAGCATATGATAAAGTTTCAAGAGAAGTGCTATGGAGAGTTCTTGAAAAGAAAGGAGTAAATAATGCTTATATTCAAATCATTAAAGATATGTATGCAGGAGCTATTACTTGTGTTCAAACACAAGGTGGTTTGACCAAGTATTTTCTTATTTCGGTTGGGTTACATCAAGGATCAGCCTTAAGCCCATATTTTTTTGCTTTAGTCATGGATGTTCTCACTAGACATTTGCAAGAGGATGTACCTTGGTGTATGCTTTTTGCTGATGATATTCTTCTTGTTGATAAGACTAGAGATGGAGTTGAAAGTAAACTTGAATTATGGAGGTCAACATTAGAGACTAAAGGTTTTCGCTTGAGTAGATCTAAAACGGAATATATGGAGTGTAATTTTAGTGGTAATAGACCTAGTGAGGGGATTGTGATTTTGGGCGATCAAGTCATTAATAAGAGTACATGTTTTCGATACCTTGGATCTATTGTTCAGAGTGATGGTGAAATAGATGGGGATATTATCAGTAGAATTCAAGTTGGATGGTTGAAGTGGAGGAATGTATCGAGCTTGTTGTGTGATAGAAAAGAACCCCTCAAACTTAAGGCAAATTCTATAAGATGGTAGTGAGGCCTGCATTGCTTTATGGTGCTGAATGTTGGTCATTAAAAAAGAAGCATAATACTAAGTTAAGTGTGGCAGAGATGAGGATGCTCAGATGGAAGAGTGGTTTTACCCTTAAATAGGATACGAAATGAGCATATACGTGAAAAGGTTGGAGTAGCTCTAGTAGAAGATAAGATTAGAGAGAGTCGCCTTAGATGGTTTAGTCATATAAAACGGCGGCCTTCCAATGACCCGGTTAGGAGAGTAGAGGTATTAGATTTGACTTATGTTAAGAAAGGTAGAGGCAGACCTAAAAAGACTTGGTTAGAAAATATTAGGAATGACCTTTCATTATTAGATTTAAACGAGAATTTGACCTTTAATAGGACACAGTGGAGAAAAAGGATTCATGTAGCCGACCTCACGTAGTGGGATAAAGGCTTGATGTTGTTGTTGTTGTTGTTGTACAGATACTAGAAAAAATGCTGACTCGGACATTATCTACTAGCATTCCATGACGTGAAATAGCTTACGCAAACCAACACATTTGAAAGGAAGAAGCCAGAGTGCTGATAGCCTTTCTTTTAGAAGGAATCTTGCAGCTGCAAGAGCTGCTGGTATTTTTGGGTTGGTTTTATGATGGGTTAATGGATACTCACTTTGAGTATTATAGATGTATACTTTTATGTTTCTTGAAATGTGTTATATCTCTATTTAATTTGATATTGTATCAGGAGCTTATCTTTGTATTGCATTTTATTACTTCCAATGTTTTTTTGAACGCAAATAATCCTTTCCTGTAGCATCCTTTTTAACAACAAATTTTTTGTTATTATTACTCCACTATTTGTTGCCATGCTTATACCAGGTAAGCCTGCGTTTCATCACCCATCATTATTAGCCTTAAACCATTACGCGCCTGCATCACTAAGCATATCTGTTTGCTGTTTAAATCTAGTTGTATATGAGATTCAATTGGATATGGAACTTCACTAGGTTTCTTGTACTGATGGCAATGCGGAGATTGAAATTATAATATCTTAACAAGTTTAATGAGGATTTGTGGGACTTGTTTTTCTTGAAGTTCCTGCCTTTTTTTTTTTGTTTGCTTTGGGTTTGATTTGATAATTCTGGAGGTGAGGCATGATGCGATATCCTGATGATAACCATAATCCTACTTATGCAGTTTATGTCAACTTTAATACACTTTTATTTATTTCAATTCTTGAATGCATAATTTAATAAGATATTGATTATTCTTTGGTTTTTATCTCTTTTTTTCTTGCTTTTCTTAAACTATTTCAGCAAAGGATCTAAGAGTGGGGCATCAGGGAGATGCTATGGATGCCAAGGCACTGGTATGAAAGTTATAACTAGACAGATTGGGCCAGGAATGATCCAACAAATGCAGCATGTTTGTACTGAATGCAGAGGCACAGGTATTTTGCTGTTTAACACTACGCTTGCTGTGACTTTGATCTCTCCACTAAACATATTATTTTTCAGGTGAGGTTATAAGTGATAAAGACAAATGCCCACAATGTAAAGGGAACAAAGTCACTCAGGAGAAGAAGGTATTAGAGGTGCATGTTGAGAAGGGAATGCAGCATGGTCAAAAGATTGTATTCCAAGGAGAGGCTGATGAAGCTGTGAGTCTAATTTTCTCTTTCTTTTCTTGGGCAGTTTCAGTTCTCTTTTTGGGTTTGTTCTTACATGCAATAACTTACTCAATTTTTTTTTAGAAAATATGCTATTTGAATGTCTTCTTTTCCCCTCTTGTGCGATACCAAGTGGAGTTCTAGTGAGCAAAAGCTCAATTAGGAATAAAAAAATTCAGTTTAAAATTAATTTAGGCTGTAGTTGAGTTGAAAGTGATCGATTTTTAGTTGATTAAAGCCAAGAATTTTAAATTTATATGAAACATATTTTGATATATTTATTTAAGCATTTTTTTTTATTTTTATTGGTTGCATATATATTAATGTGTATGTACGTAGCTATATATAAATTTATTTATTCAAAGATTATATATATATATATATATATATATATATATGTCAAATTAAATCTAATTATGAATATATACATGTGTATGTGTATACATTTTTGAAAACATAGAAATCTACTTTTGAGTAGATCTCGAGTTAAATCTAATTAATTTTAAGCTAGCCATCCAAGTCTAAGGCTTTGTTTGGGACATCTTTCTTTTTGCTTCTTAAAGCGGCCTTTTAGTGCAAAAATTAAATTTTTGTACTAAAAAGCCGCTTTAAAAAGCAGTAAGAAAGCCGTTTCAAACAAATCCTAAGCAAATCAGTTTTGATATGGGATATACTAAAAGTCAAGGGATTATTGAGTGAGTTTCGAGTTGCAAACAAAAATACCACAAGGGAGCCCTCCCTTCATGAATTTGGTACATCTTTGCTGCTATAACCTCCTTGGCTTGCCTGCGTGTATCAGTACATGCTGTTCTGCTAAGGGCCCTTTTATCCTAAATTTTGTAATGAGACTGCGTTTTTACCTGAACCTTTCTATTTTTCCATTGAAATCTATCTAACATCAAATATTTCAAAAGGTTTGTAAATCCATCATGTATGACATTGGTATAATTATATATTGTTGTCTGCAGCCTGATACAGTTACAGGAGACATCGTCTTTGTTTTGCAACTTAAAGAGCACCCAAAGTTCAAGCGAAAGTATGATGATCTGTATGTAGAGCATACACTCTCGCTGATCGAGTCCCTCTGCGGCTTCCAGTTTGCTTTAACACATCTTGATGGCAGACAACTTCTTATCAAATCAAACCCGGGCGAAGTTATCAAACCTGGTAAGATTTCTTGTTCTCCCAGTTATATTTCTATCTTGATAATTTGAATCAGTTCTTACGTTAATCCTCTGATCAGGTCAATCCAAAGCCATCAATGACGAGGGGATGCCTCATCACCAGAGGCCATTCATGAAGGGTCGACTGTACATCAAATTCAATGTGGAATTTCCTGATTCAGGAGTTCTTTCTCCTGATCAGTGCAGGCATCTGGAGGCAATTCTTCCGCCCAGAACAAGCACGCGGATGACTGACATGGAGCTCGATGAATGCGAGGAAACCACCATTTATGATGTCAATATTGAAGATGAGATGAGACGAAAGCAGCAGCAGCAGCAGCAAGAGGCGTATGAGGAGGATGAGGAGGCCGGGCCGCGGGTACAGTGTGCCCAGCAATAAGGTTGGTCTTTTGAGATGTACTGTAATAACTTTTACTGGTTGCAGCAGTGGATATAAGTGTTTTATCTTGTTCTGTTTTATGAGTATATTTGATATAAGGTCTATTAGAATCATTCAGTATTATCTATAACGACGGACGGTGAAGAGTCTCCTTATGCAAATGCTTCCTTGGTTCATGTTTTGTGTTTTTTTTTTGGTTTATATGGTACAATTGTAGTTTGTGTGCTGGATGGTTCATTTTGTAACTTTTTGTCTATACCTTCAAATTTTTTGATTGTGTTCCTTCTGCGTTGTTAGGCTTGTGTTCTTTATTAGAAACATTAGTTGAAAGTTTTTTTTTATTTTTTTTGTTTATATCTTAGATTTTGTTTCTGATAATTTTTTTATTGTTTTTTAAAACAGTTTTTATGTACAAAAATTTTTATTTCAAGAAATTTTTCTGCTGAAAAGTTGTTTTTATAAAATAGTAAGAAAGCTATTCCAAATAAAGTCTTAGGCTTCGTTTGGAACAGTTGTTTTATTGCTTCTTAAAATAACTTTCTAGTATACAAATTTAAAATTTTATATTAAAAAGTTATTTTAAGTAGTAAGAAAGTTGTCCCAAACAAAGCGTTAACGCGTTGCTTTCTTTTTTATTTTTATTTTCACGTGTTAGCATTCCCTCTGCAAATATGTTTTTTTTTTTTTAATATTCCATCAAGATATATTTGATATATAAAATGTAATATTATTTTATTTTTATTGAATATTGCATAAGATAGTGATGGTGGCAGAATGGCAATCAATGGCCGGAGGTAATAGGTTATCCTGGTGATTTATATTTAAAAAATGAAATAAATTAAAAATACTTTTAAGATTTTGAGTATTGTAGAAATAATTTTATTTGCTTTTAAAACAAAAAAAAAATTGTCTAAAAATAAATTAAAATATTTAAAAAAATGAAAACAAAAGATATAAATAAAAAATGACAACAATCTCAGGAGTTAATGAAAGGAGGTTATATG